AGACGGGTGTGACCTCCGCCGCCTGGGTTTGCCCGGCATTCGGCTTCCTGACCGTTCCTGCCGACGGAGACGGGTGTGACCTCTCCGCCGCCTGGGTTTGCCCGGCATTCGGCTTCCTGACCGTTCCTGCCGACGGAGACGGGTGTGACCTCTCCGCCGCCTGGGTTTGCCCGGCATTCGGCTTCCTGACCGTTCCTGCCGACGGAGACGGGTGTGACCTCTCCGCCGCCTGGGTTTGCCCGGCATTCGGCTTCATGACCGTGCACGCCGACGGAGACGAGTTTGACCTCTCCGCCGCCTGGGTTTGCCCGGCACTCGGCTTCCTGACCACGCACGCCGACGGAGACTGGTCTGACCTCTCCGCAGCCTGGGTTTGCCCGGCACTCGGCTTCCGCGCACCGCCGCACTCCACAATCGCGACACGCTCGCCGAGCGAAACCGCGACCGACCGTCTAGGCTAAGTTTACCGTAAGCGTCCGTAGGTTAAGTTAGAAGGATAAGTACTAGCGCACCGTCGTAGGCTAAGCTCGCGTAATATAAGGTAGTTATAATCACCGCGTAGGATAAGGCCTAGCATAAGATATTTACGAATAAATTGATTATTGAAAGAGGACTCGTAAGCTTGATTCTCCTACCTACTCCCGAACCTTGGCACCGGCGAGCCAGTCCGTGGCGAACGGGATAGGCCGTACCGTTACATGGCGCCCGCACAGGGACCGTTTAAGGAGAGTCCAGCTAGCGAAAAGCCTCATGACTGCGTGGATTAATAACCTTTCCAAAGAACAGCTTGTAGAATATCTCCACCGGTTCGAAGTGGATACCACAGGCCAGGTGGACCTGCTAAGACGCCGATTACGCCTGTACTTCGCTGCCCACCCGTCCGACAACCCGAGGAACAATAGCGGTGACGTACCAGGAGAAACCGCAACCATGCCCACCTTGAGTCCAACGGAACGCATCGAGATCATCAACCAGATCCGGAAATGGGGCCACCGTTTCGAAGGAGTGGACCCGCTCTCATTCCTAGAGAGAGTTGAAGAGCTAAGAATCAGTTATGGCCTCGAAGAAGACCACTTACTCTTGGGCCTACCGGAATTACTAAAAGGGGACGCCCTCTTGTGGTATCGAAACCACCACGATACCTGGGGAACTTGGGCCAGTTTCTGCGAACAGTTCCGGGATTATTACCTACCGCCGGGATACCTGAGGCGACTAAAACGAGACGTCAGCGGACGCTCCCAAAAGCCGGGGGAGTCGTTTCGCGAATACTCCAATACGCTTCTCACCATGATGCGCCGAGCTGGGGGATACTCCGAGCGAGAACAGCTGGAGCAAATCTACGAGAACATGAATCCCGAGCACCAACTCTATGTTCCGCTCACTGATCAGCTCACCATGAGCGAACTCCGGACCCGGATATCTAAGATTGAGGAAATCAACCACCGTCGACAGGATCGAACTCCAGCGACCGCCAAACCATCAGTAGCCGCCGTCACCTACAACCGGGAGGAATGCTGCTGGAGATGTAAGCAGCGAGGCCACACTCGAGTGGATTGTAAGCGGCCACCAAGAAAATTCTGCTCGCGATGCGGCAAGGATGGTGTCCTGACTCGCGACTATCACCCGCCGACGGGAAACGCCCAACGGGCCGGGGACGTAGCGGCCGTCTCCCAGCCCAGCCTCGAATAGAATACCGTCCGCGCCCGCACCTCCAAGTGCACATCCGGCGACAACCGTTCGCGGCTCTCATAGACCCCGGATCTGAAGTCTCGTGCATACAGGAAGAGACTGCACGACTGTTCCCCGGAATACCCCGACTAGCCCAGAACCGAGGAGACTACGTCCTCCTGGCCGATAACACACGGGTAGGGGTCACTGGGGTATTGCGCCTGCCCCTCCGATGGCATGGGAGAACCTATTGACACGACTTCTGCATACTCCCTGGGCTAGCTAGCGCTGTGCTGATTGGTACCGACCTATGGGCTAAGATGGGATTCACTTTGCCGCCACCTCCGTTGAATCAGACCGGGGCGGTTTCCCGGACCAACACGATCACCGTCGGACCAAATAACGAAGCAAACGAAGAAGCGCAACTCCGGGACTTTCTAGCCGCTGAGTTACCATTGTTTGAAGTAATCACGGGACGAACCGACCGAGCCGAACATCGCATCCGGCTAAAGCCTGGACCGCCCATCAAACAGCGGTACCGACCTCGAAACCCGGCTATGCAGGCCGTCATCAATGAGGAGGTCGACCGAATGCTCGCCGAAGGCATCATCGAGCCCTCGAATAGCGCTTGGAGCTCACCGGTCGTCATAGTTCGAAAGAAAGATGGGCAGTATAGATTCTGCATCGATTTCCGCAGGCTGAATGCAATGTCAGATAAAGACGCCTATCCCTTGCCGCACATCACGGCTACGCTCGACAAGTTACGCGGGGCGAAATACCTGACTACGTTAGACCTAAAGAGTGGTTACTGGCAGATACCACTGAACCAAGGGAGTCGACCTGCAACCGCCTTCACCGTACCAGGGAAGGGTTTATACCAATTCACGGTCATGCCTTTCGGGTTGCACTCAGCCCCCGCGACCTTCCAGCGGTTGCTGGACGCAGTGATCGGCCCCGACCTCGAACCTAACGTCCTCGTCTACTTGGACGATATAATAATCGCCAGCAAGACGTTCAGCGAACACCTGCAGCACTTGAGAGAGGTATTCCGGCGACTACGTAAAGCAAAGCTACGCTTAAACCCGGATAAATGCCACTTCTGCCGTCCGAGCCTCCGTTACCTAGGACATGTAATTGATCGACAAGGGATACACATGGACCCAGACAAAGTCAGCGCCATCACCAGTTGGCCAGCTCCCACCACCGTGCGCAAGGTCCGGCAATTTTTAGGAATGGCCTCGTGGTATCGGAGGTTCATCCCGAATTTTTCGACACTAGCGGCGCCGCTTACAGCGCTGACCAAAAAACGAGCTGGCTGGACATGGGGGACCCCCGAAGACGCAGCCTTCCAACAACTAAAGGACGCATTGACCTCCACACCGGTTCTGGCCTGCCCGGACTTCCATAAACCGTTCCTGCTACAAACCGATGCCAGTTCACATGGGCTAGGAGCCGTGCTAACGCAGCACCAGACGGAGGGAGAGCGAGTAATCGCATACGCCAGCCGAACGCTCAACGGTGCCGAGCGGAACTACAGTGCGACCGAGTTGGAATGTCTCGCCGTGGTATGGGGAATCCGGCGAATGCGAGACTACTTGGAGGGGTATCGATTCACCGTTGTGACAGACCACCAGTCCCTCAAGTGGTTGCAACATCTGGAAAACCCGTCCGGACGCCTGGGGCGGTGGCTCTTCGAACTGCAACAGTTCGACTTCATACACTATAGAAGAGGAGGACTTCATACACTATAGAAGAGGAGGACAAAATCAAGTAGCCGATGCCCTCTCCCGGGAGCCGCAGCTCAACGCAATGCAACACCGGATAGCGTGTCCATGGTACCAACGTCCATGGTGCCTAGCCCACAAGGTACCGCAACAACGACCAGCCGGGAATCTACACGCTACCCTAGTAACCGCCCCGTGGCAGCAAGTCTCAGTGGATCTAGTCGGTCCTCTGCCACGCTCGGTCCGTGGACATGTCTGGCTCCTGACCGCCCAAGACCGGTTCAGCAAATGGGTCGAGATGGTTCCCCTGCGACGCGCCACCGCCACGGCACTGGCGAAAGAAGTGACCCGCCGCATCATCTACCGGCATGGATGCCCGGGCCAACTCATCTCGGACAACGGGACCCAGTTCACCTCCCGCCAGTTCCGTACCTTGCTGGCGGCATTCGGGATCCAGCACCGCATGTCACCTGTCTACGCGCCGCATTGCAACCCGGTGGAGAGGGCGAATGGGACCATCAGGACCATGATTAGTCAATACGTAGGCAACCGGCACCGGGATTGGGACGAGCACATCGACGCGTTGCAGTTCGCGGTGAACACCGCTCGACACGAGGCCACCGGATACACCCCGGCCTTTCTGCTCCACGGCCGCGAACTGGCACCTCCCCATCCTGCCGAGCGACAACCAACGCCGAACTCGACTTCCCCGGAGTCGCATCGACAACGCCTGGAAGAGGCCTATGAGGTCGCCAGGGTGCACCTAGCCCGAGCCTTTCAAAAACAAGAGCGCCATTATAACATGAGGCGACGCGACTGGCGCCCCCGGGTGGGGGACAAGGTTTGGAAGCGAGAACGCCCCCTGTCCAGCCGCGACGACGCGTTTAACGCCAAACTCGCTCCTCGATTTTCGGGACCCATGGAAGTACGCAGGATAATATCCCCAGTCATCGTGGATCTACGCGACGAACACGGGAAATGGCATCGGCATATCCACGTACAGGACCTGAAACCGCAACCGAACATACCAGAAAGTCCTCGGGTGGACAAGGATGACGCATAATCCGGCAAAAAGTTACCGACCACGCCGAAGTACCGCCACCTTGAAGCATTCGGACGAACTCCGTTGCTAGGGAATTTCCCTTAGAGCCACGGGCCTTCTACTGCCCGACCTGCGGATGGCGGACCGCCTATGGCCCGACCTACGACCGCCGGTCCAGCTACTGTCCGACCTACGACCGCCGGTCCAGCTACTGTCCGACCTACGACCGCCGGTCCAGCTACTGCCCGACCTACGACCGCCGGTCCAGCTGCTGTCCGACCTACGACCGCCGGTCCAGCTACTGCCCGATATACGACCGCCGGTCCAGCTACTGCCCGACCTACGACCGCCGGTCCAGCTACTGCCCGACCTACGAACGCCGGTCCAGCTATTGCCCGACCTACGACCGCCGGCACCGCGACTACCCGACCTGCGACCGAACTCCGCTACTTCCACTGGAACCACGGGACACCCCGAGCCATCGGAAATTCCGCGAACCAATCCCCTCCAGGAGCAGTGCAGCGGGTATATAAGGCCGCGCAACCGCGTGCGGATTAATAGTCGCCATGGACCGACGCACGATAGAAGAACTATTCGGAGCGATCAGTTCGAGCTCGGAGTCCGAGACAAGCGGGTCTACTCCCGCACCACCGACCACGCCGCCGCCGACGCCTGCTCCCGCCAAGTCGCCTCCTGCAACTCCGAGTCCGGGACGGCCGCGACGTCCGCCGCGCCCGGGAACGTCGGTCCAGCGATCCGACCGGACCAACCAACGGAAGGCCGTCCTCCTGGCCACACCACCGGAGGTAAAGCCGCGTCACCGCGGAAGGGTCGCCGCCCTGGTCAAGCCTCGACCTAACACCAGCCGTCCACCAGCTGCCAGGACCAGCAAGGCCTCGACCTCCAGGCCACCGACCGCCGGACCGCGCTCTTCCACCAGAGCCCCGATGACCCGGCCTGCGAACATCGGTCCGCCGACTACCCGGCCCCCGACCGCCGGCCCAACGACTGCCCGGCCTGCGACCGTCGGACCGCCTACCGCCCGGCCTGCGAACATCGGCCCGCCGACTACCCGGCCCACGACCGCCGGCCCAGCGATTACCCGACCTGCGACCGTCGGATCGCCTACCGTCCGGCCTGCAACCACCGGACCGTCTGCGCCCGCCGGACCACCCGCCACCCGACAAGCAACCACCCGACCACGCACCGCCAGGCCACCTATCGCTGGGACCATTCCCGTCCGCTTGGGCGACGGGACCGTGGTCGAGGTCCCTGCCGGATCGGCCATCATCGGGCGGAGGTACAAGGTCCGCACCGCGTCGGGCCGATGGGTGATTAGGTTTCACCCAGACGGCCGCCCCCGAGCAGCCCGGCGCCTCGACGGGCCCCCCTAAGCGCGGGGTGATGTGACGACACCATCGTCGTCACTGTATATATATGTATATAGTTATTGTTCATTTGTTTCTTGTTCAGTTCATATTGTTTATACGGTTTCTATGTTCATTGTTCCAAATTTATAGAATAAAGATATTAACTATGTTAATTTCTCGAGTAAATTTCTTACTCGACGCCTATGGCGCCCACCTGCGATCCCGCCTATGTTTCCCCACCGAGTCCTACTCCCTCCTTGAAGCACGCGAGCGTGGGGGCTCTCGAGCCGTATAAAAGCCGGCTCGCGCAACAGACCGATACCTTATTCCTTTCCAGCTTCCGACCAGCTCTGAATCTCAGGGAATAACCGAGACATCTTGACTCCTGACCGTTCCTGCCGACGGAGACGGGTGTGACCTCTCCGCCGCCTGGGTTTGCCCGGCATTCGGCTTCCTGACCGTTCCTGCCGACGGAGACGGGTGTGACTTGTCCGCCGCCTGGGTTTGCCCGGCATTCGGCTTCCTGACCGTGCACGCCGACGGAGACGGGTTTGACCTCTCCGCCGCCTGGGTTTGCCCGGCACTCGGCTTCCTGACCACGCACGCCGACGGAGACGGGTCTGACCTCTCCGCAGCCTGGGTTTGCCCGGCACTCGGCTTCCGCGCACCGCCGCACTCCGCAATCGCGACACGCTCGCCGAGCGAAACCGCGACCGACCGTCTAGGCTAAGTTTACCGTAAGCGTCCGTAGGTTAAGTTAGAAGGATAAGTACTAGCGCACCGTTGTAGGCTAAGCTCGCGTAATATAAGGTAGTTATAATCACCGCGTAGGATAAGGCCTAGCATAAGATATTTACGAATAAATTGATTATTGAAAGAGGACTCGTAAGCTTGACTCTCCTACCTACTCCCGAACCTTGGCACCGGTGAGCCAGTCCGTGGCGAACGGGATAGGCCATACCGTTACAATGTTAATTATATATCATCGCAAGTAATTAAAATAGAGTTGCGCAGATGCAGCGGTAAAATATCGCGCAGATGCGGCAACAGATCGTGAAATAAAAATCGTATTGATACGAGAAATCAATTCGTTTGAATAAAATGTTTCATTCAAATTAAAATAATTCAAATTGCCAAATGTTCAATTTAATTAAAAGATTTTAATTTAATAAATGAATTTAATTATATTATAATTAATTATGTGATGAGTCACACGATGGTGAGTCATACGAATATAAATTCAAATAAAATAAAAATGAGTCATACAATGATGAATCATACGATGATGAGTCATACAATGATGAGTCATACAGCAGGTGTTCGTTAACAAAATATTTCAATAAATTATATGATGAGCCATACGACGATGAGTCATACAAATATAAATTTAAATAAAATAAATAAATTAATTTGTTAAAATGAAATAAAATAATAGAGTCAATAAAAGTGAATTAATTCATTGGCAAATTGTTTCAATAAGAATACGCGATGTACTATTGAAAGTTGTTCACAAAATGACGGCCTGCCTTGAAATATGGTAAAACAAAATGGCAGGTTCCCCAACTCCTTATATATTATACATGAAAAATATATGTAGACTCATAGAAATTTCTGGACTTTCAGTAGGATAGGAAAATAGATTTCTTTTTATTTCGTTTGTTGTAATGTTGAAAGAATACAGAAGTACTGGAAAATGGAAGGATAGATACCGTGTCGGCTAACTTAGCCTTTAATCAAATAGTTAAAATGATTCCTTTAATAATATTCGTTTGAATCTCGCGCCGAGAATCTAGTGATAAAAAGAGACAGACATACTACCATTATATGTGATTCTCATGAATGTACTTAAGGAAGTCTGTTCGGAAATTGAAATCGATTGTAAATTCGTCTTTATAATGAAGCTCTTTAATGAGTCTTCAATAATTTGTATTAATGATTCAATTAATAATATAATAATAATAATATCTTCGATAAATCTTTATGTATCAGACATGTAATTGCAATATTATTTCAATTGTTTAATTATAATTGCATATAAGCATCTCAAGAGTAGACATAGATGCAATAATTGATCGTAGTAGATCGTAATAAAGAGATAGTAAGTGTAGTAGAATGTCGTTGCAAATCACGATAGTAGAGAAGTATGTAAAATAAAAGAAATAAGTACTTACCAATGAGTACTGAAGAGTAAAGTTGAAGATCTCCAGGGAGGACTGTCTACCTCGGTGACGTCGCTGTAGGAGAGTTGAAGGAGCCGGTGATGAATGACTGGCAGAAGACTCAAGTGATGATAAAATAAAACTTTAATATACTTTGTTCCAAGTACAAAGATTTGACAGTTCTCGGACTAAGTCCTTTTCGGCTCAAAAATAAATACTCGTGACTGCGTGAAGGTTATACGTTGAAAGAACTGAGAGTCAAATGCGAATAGAGTCGCTCTGCATGGGTTTTTATAACGGGATTCCTACTTTTTGGGCAATTTTTGCAGAGTGGGAGCAGGTTCCTTTTCGCAGGGCGGAGTCTCTAATGATTGGTTCCCCTCTTAAAATTGGATGCGTGCGCAATTTTGCGTAGGCGTTTGAACGATGATTGCGTCCCCGTTTTTGGGTCTTGAGGTGGTGGGGGAAGTAGAGTAGCCAATCAGGAAGTAGCAGAAATTCTAATGCAACCGGATGCGGTGAGTCATCGATGAATCACTTTTGGTAACAATTCTTCTGATACTTGATATTTTTCTTGAAGGTTATCAGTGACATTCGATATTTTTTCGTATAATTTATGTGACAGGTATCCTTCGATTAAAATAGATTTGCGTCGCCAAATTGTCGCACCGGCTTATCTTTAAATTATTAAATTATTTAACTGATGAGCTCATGGTCGAATCTTTGTTATAAACAATATGAATATGCGTATTTAGTAACGCATATATAGTATATGTAGACAGCTAAATAAAAGTATCTATAGTATATGTACGTATAAGAAATATGTTTTTACCAACAAGACTTCAAAATTTGTAAGAATAATGGAATTTAACATTTGGACCTCCCTGTAGATTAGGGAGTCGAAAATATATAGAATTATGTAAAAACATGTGTAAATATTCGGCTGTGGTCCTCAGAATTTGGGTTTAAAAATTTACAATGTATCAGGATAGTATATTCTCATAAGAAGTATACGTCGGTAAGTCGGTAAGTTAGAATGTCGATAACTTCTGAATTTAAATAAAATTAAAGTATTAGGATAGCATGTATATGAAAGAGGCATGCTTCTAGTGAAAGAATATATATAAATATATATATGTTTATTGGTTAATATCTTTAAAAATTAAAGTTTTAAAATTTTAAAGTATCAGGGTAGCATATTCATAAAAGAGGTATGCTCCTGGTAGAACGTCGGTAACTGGTAGGTCGGTTGGTTGGTAAGTCGTTGGGTTGGTAAGTTACCATAAGTCGGTAAGGTAGTAAGGTGTCGGTAACAATAAATAGGTATGTTACCATAGGTCGGTAAGGTAGAAAAGTGTCGGTAACAAAAAATCGGTGTGTTACCATTTGTCGGTAAAGTAGAAAAGTGTCGACAAGAAGAGTCGGTAAAGTAGAAATCTGTTTTATCATCAGTCGGTAACGTAGGAATTATTTATATTATCATTTATCCTTGGTCGGTAAAGTAGGAAGTGACTTTACCATCCCATGTAGAAAGGGTTGAAGTCTTGCAGGCTCTTTGAAAGTATAAGAGGTTACTATTCTGTAGGCGCTGCGTATATGATATAAGTTTTATAGGCGCTGTATTAAAGGTATAAATATTTTAGGCGCTTGTATATACGGTATAGATTCTGTAGGCGCTTTAAGAGTATAAGCGGATGCGGTTTTGCAGGCGCTTAATAGGAGGAAGATCAATGAGGCTATTTAATATGAATTATTATGCTTTTCTAAGCGAAAGAATATTGTAATAGCAATAATTAGAGTGAATTATTTGTATTATAGCGTTTTTGATCCCCTTATAAGAGCTGAAAATAATATAATATTAGTATTAAAGTATTTAATATAAAATTTTACTATATGTATATATGATCAACGTTATATAGGCGCACTGAGAGTAAATAGTGTTGAAGTTTTATAGGCGCGTTTCATCTCTTAAGCCATGCAGGCTTATTGCAATTTATATTTTATGAAAAATAAGGCAAGAAGATCAATGTGCTATGTACTATAGAGTTTTAATATGAATTTTATGAATCCTTTGCACATGTAATGTGAGTTCATTATATAAAATAATTAAATATAACTGAGTTTTCTTTATATAAAGAGTGAATAAAGTATTTTTAGAAATATTCTCTTTGTATAAATAATACAGCATTTTGATCTTCTATAATTTTATCTTATTACTCGATTATATAATAGCAAAAAGCTAATTCGAGAGAGTATATAAGTAGTAATATAATGTGATTATATATTGATTATATATTTAAAATAAATTTTTGTAGCGGGACGTAACATCATCTTGAAAAAAAGCGTTTAATTCAAGTTAGTACGTCGCATAGGCGTTCGTTATCCGGATTAAAAGCATTCATTTCTACTTAATTCAGTACTTCGCATCATCGCATGCTATCTTGAAAAAATGCGTTCATTTCACGTTAGTACGTCGCGTAGGCGTGCGATATCCGGTTTAAAAGCATTCATTTCTGGTTTATTCAGTAGTTCGCATCATCGCATGCTATCTTGAAAAAAAGCGTTTAATTTACGTTAGTACGTCGCACAGGAGTGCGTTATCCGGATTAAAAGCATTCATTTCAACTTAGTTCAGTACTTCGCATCATCGCATGCTATCTTGAAGGAAAGCTTTTAATTCAATTTAGTACATCGTATAGGCGTGCGTTATCCGGATTAGAAGCATTCATTTCTACTTAGTTCAATACTTCGGATCATCGCATGCTATCTTTAAAAATAGCGTTTAATTCATGTTAGTACGTCGCATAGGCGTGGGTTATCCGGATTAAAAGCATTCATTTCTACTTAGTTCAGTACTTCGCATCATCGAATGCTATCTTGAAAAAAAGTGTTTAATTCACGTTAGTACGTCGCAAAGGCATGCGTTATCCGGATTAAAAGCATTCATTTCAACTTAGTTCAGTACTTCGCATCATCGCATGCTATCTTGAAAAAAAGCGTTTAATTCACGTTAGTACGTCACACAGGCGTGCGTTATCAGGATTAAAAGCATTCATTTCAACTTAGTTGAATACTTCGGATCATCGAATGCTATCTTGAAAAAACGTGTTTAATTCACGTTAGTACGTCGCAGAGGCGTGCGTTATCCGGTGTTACGTCTCGAGTGTTAATTTAGACTAACTAAATTTTTATTTCTCTTGACCAGAGGTTTATCTCTCAATTTATTTTCTAGGGCAACCTGCTAAGCCGGCTATACCCTGGGACGCCGAGAGATAGAGTCTAAGGTAACCTTTTTGGGTAGGAGAGTCTTATATCGACAGTAAAATACTCTAGGTTATTCAGTCCTGACCAAATTTCTTTTATTTCGTCCAATTCATTATGGCGATACAATATGATACATATATATATTTATATTTATTTATATTTGTATATAAATGTGTGTATTATAGGTTAATACATGTGTATATTGATTTCTTTATTATATAAAGAGAGAATAATATCTAAATGTGTTTATTGAAATCGTTAAATTATTTTAACAAATTGCTTTAGATATGGTCCAGGAGTGCATTTATTCTGTTATTGAAGTCTTCATTGTCTTCCTCGGGCTCGGAAAAGAGGGGCTCCGGTGTTTGATTTAATGCATCTCTCTCGAATTCATCCCAGAAGTCCTCAAGTTCTTCCAGGGGTACCGGAGAGTAACTGGGGGGTGAGTAGTTAGACCATAAAGGGGAGCTCGGGGGAGAGTATGGCAAGGGCGACACCGGGGAAGAATACGGGGACGGCACTTGGACGCCGACGTCAACCAAAGGTCTTATTTCAGCATTTCGTTCCCAGCCTCGGAGCAATGCTAGCGGTATTCTACAATCCGCTTCCTCCAAGGAAATATCACTTGAATGTCCGTCTAAGGATTCAGTGTCCTCTTCCTCTTCTAGGATAACTCCTTTAGGGTTATTTTCTTGAGCTTCTTCAAGGGCAGGCTCAGGGCTCGAGTCGATAGAGGGGCAAACGAGAGGTCGAAAGGAATATCCTCTTGATTATTATAAGATGTTAAGATGTTAGCAGGAATTTCATCACGATCAATAAATAATCGTCTAGAGACAGGAGTTCCCGTTATTCTACTCCTTATAATTGCTCGTCGTCTAACGCGACCTTCTCTGATGGAGAATTCACGGTTCAAGATTCGATCAATTCGTCTAGCGTTAACCATCTATAATTAATTTCATCGATTGTTAACAAACACTTTTATTTGAGGTTATAATTTATGAAAGGAAAGAATCTACTTACGATGATTAGTTTATTCCTTTATATAGAATCGTATATATATGTATATTTAAGATGAGGGGTCCTGTCAAAGGGATAATTGAAACAAATGGGTTAGTGTGTTACTTCTTTAAAATCTTTTTAATAGAAGGTGCGTAGAGAGGAAGTGATTGACAAGTTTAATGTTCATGCTTGGATCAGAGCAGCATGATATAATATTGCTATGTTTCACTATGTAGTAATAGCGACTTTAATTTATTAATTCATATTTCAAAATTCTAGGTTGAATCTAAGATTGTCAAAGGGAAAGGATATGGGAATACAGACAATGTCAATCAATGACATGAATCAAAGCGGCTGACTTATATTCTGTGAGTATAAATTATTTGTATGTATACTTAATTCAAAGTTATAAGTCAGTGCATAATATCTATTATTTCGACAGATCCTCTAAGAGCCAGTCTTTCATTCGAGGTCAAGTATCGATGTGCAAGACGTCCCGTCACAGCGGCTCAGAATCCATAAAGAAAGTCTTCAAGAGAATCCCTTTATGAAAGCGGCAGAGGAGTAGTATGCTACCCAATGCACATCAAGTGACTCATCAGAACGGCGCTACGCTCTAAGTATTGAATACTGAGGACCGGTTGAAATTAAAATAATATTCAACTTGAAAAGAAACTAAATGTCTGTATGAACAGTCAGGGTTCAAGGGAAAATAGTAAAGTAGTAAGTATATAGGTTGAATTGACATGCGTAGTTGAAATATAGTTAGTTAATTAATTTATGATTTGTAATTGTACTTACCAGAGGATGGATTCTTCAACTCGTAATGACGATGTTCCTTCCCAAGATCGAAGGCACTCAGCAAGTCTCCTAGGGAGGTGTCAGGGTTGATGAGAGAATCGGCAGAAGACCCGAAGTATTATTTAATAATACTTTATTAGACTGGTTATACACTCTCGGTGTTGTAGGTCTCAACGTTACAAAATTCAAACTTGCGACTAAGTTTTATTATAGCGATACTGCTGGTAAGTCTTCTTGATGTTTTCTCTTTCAGATCTTACAGACCGGTGTGAACCTAGCATCTCAATTGTTAGCATCTCACGCATACTCTTCAAATCTACTTG